TATATATATATATATATACATATATATATATAACAATACTTTTGGGCTATGCCCTTATGTGGTTGTTTGGTATAAAATTTTATTTTGATCAAATTTTAATATTTAAATTAAAATATATTTTATATTCAAAATAGTCTTTTTTTTTTTTTCTATTGAAAGTGACAATGGCAAGTCTATGGTTTTACTTTTGCAAGCTTTTATAATATATTATTAGTTTTCTCAATTTTATGATTTTCTTCGAAGTAATATGTGTTGGAGAAAGAAATTATATATAAATTTATGCATAGTTCTTATAAGTTGTACCATCTTGAAGTGAAGATGCTATGACTCATATATTTAGTATTATATGTTAATTGAATGTTAATATTTTTTTGAAACTTTAATTTATACAATATTTTATTATCATAATATTTTTTTTATATATTTAGTAATTATGTAATTAGTTAGTACATGAAATTATGATTAATTAATAATATTATCTAGGTGTCTTGTTTAAGGTGGAGATTCCTATTTTGTTGATATTCTTATGAAATTTCTCTATGATTATGCTAGTATATAAAATATAATGGACATTCGTAATATGAAAATGAAATATTTTTTTATTTTTTTATTCATTTGGATGGGTATTTTTTAAGTGAAGATTATAAATTATGCAAAACATTCTAAGTTAGTACTTGTTATATATATATATATATATATATATATAATGAAATTAAGTTTAAAGGACTAAATGTAAGAGCCAAGGCAAAGCTCAAACAAAATATCAAGAAAAAGGCTCATTAATAGCAGCTAAAACAAAAAACCAGCAACAACCCTATTTATCAAAAATATAAAATATAACTTAAAATTTTATGAATTTAAGATTTATTTATTTTACCTTAGAAAATGTTTTGCAATATTTATGGAAGGAATAATATTGGAATAAAAAATACAATTGACTAAAACTCTTTCGCCCGCTAATCAATAATTATTCCCATTCCATTCCCTTTTTTTTCCTCATTTTGTTCCTTCAGAAGTGCTAGTCTCATAGTTGTCTAATGCTTATAAATTTCGGTTGATAAAACATTATAATTTTCTATGTTTAGAATGAGCTCATTTGCTAGAGAAGTTCTATTTATTTAATTGGTTTTGGGTGACTTCAAATGTGTACCTTTATATTTATAAGAGTTGGCAATTATTTTTTATTTTCTTATTTATTCTCTACTCATCTCTAACAATGTTGTAAAAGCCTCACACCTCTTTTGACACTTTATAAGAGTCTTATAAGATCAGCAAATCAACAATCAAAGTTTCACAAGCAATTTAAACACCTCTATATAGCTTAAAGCCAAACTAGAAAATAGTATACGTAGTATTATTTTTAACACCTCAACGTCAATTCAAATCCAATAGATCCCTACCAAGTACTCTTAAGTCATAAGTTATCACCCACGATCATTTTCATTAATTACCCATTTCCAAACAATCTTTTTAATTAGTCCAAACTAGCTCAATCTAGATTAAACTTCACATTTCATCATCCTAATCCCTCTAAACTCATAATTTCTTATCATAAACTCCAAAATACACCGTTTTACATTAAACTATAGACTTATTGTTATTTTCTTTAATTTTATCTCACTAAAAGTACACTCAACAAACATAAACATGCAAGTTATACCATTTCATTATCATATTTATAGTTGCATTATGAATCTTCCCTATTATGATGAATAATTTTTATCATTGTTGGTGTTTACGTCAATGTAGCTATTATTAAATAAACTAACTTGCAGAAGCACTGGCTTAAATAAAATTATAATATTTGACCAAGTTGTCCTTATGTTCATCAAAGTATGATAAAGGCTAAAGCTTGTGTAGTCAAAAATCACCTCCTTTATATGATCAAATATATATTTTAGTTCTATAATTATTTTAGGGTGAAGTAAAATTCTCTTTAGTGCATGCATATGGGCAAATTTAAGAGCACATTATGGTTCTCATAATGTTCTTAGAAGTGTGCTTATAAGCTAAATTTGTTTGCATGCATACACTAAGTTGTAAAAAAAGTTCAACTAGTAAGTGGGTAAACAAAAGTGAACATACTTAATGCGCAATACAGCAAGTGAGCATACCTGAAATACTAAAATACTAATAAAATTATTTGAGAACTTCTTCTAGTATCATAAAAAAGAAAAAAAAAACTTTTTATTGTAATGCAATCACTACAGGAAAAATAGCTAAACTGGTGGGAAAATTGGCGAATTCATGCTTGTTGAAAATTTTGAACAAATTTATGGTAACTTAGCGGCAATACCTTTTTAAAGTCATTCACAACGGCTCTCTGACTAAATAAACCATAGGTTCGTAGTTAAAAGATTTTCCAACGGTGTTTGAGAAGCCACTGACGGTCCTTGCCAAGTTGATTCATAAAACAACGGTACAATATCGTCAGAAATTGAAGAAGTCAATTTTTCTATGTAAAAACCAATGAACATTCTATAATAACTGATACACCTAAAATATATAGTGTTTTTATACACGTTTTTATACCTATTTTTGAGATATTGGATTTTAATGAAAGGTATTTGTGTTTTTCTTTCAGGTACAATCAAAAGGATGAAAAATGCTAAAATGAGTGAAAAAGGGTCAAATTTGGAGCAAAAATGAAGAAAGGTGTAAAAATGAACTAGGGCGCCCAAGCGACAGAGGCTCCTCCCCTAAGCGTCAGGTACCCCGCGCTTTCGCGTCAAAAGTTTTTACTTGATGAATTATTTAATTTTAGCAGAATTTTGAAGATGTGTTTGAAGCAACTCATGATAAAAACGTAAGAAATACCCCATGGAAACAAAAATTCATTCAATTGGCTTATGAGGAGACAACTTCTAGCAACTTCTAGTGAGGAGACAACTTCTAGAAGATTCATTGAATGGAGAGACCTTTTTGAAGAGACACCAAGGCACCCCTTAGATTTTTATAAGAAAAGACTTAGATTTTTCAAGAGAGGAGGCCAGCCATCTATCAAACTTTACAGCCCATCGCCGCCGCCTCCGGCCACCTTTAATTTATTTTATTTTATTTTGACTTTTAGTTTGTATTGTGAGAGGATGAAGAGAATTCAAAGGAACTTCAAAACATTTGGTGGAAAGAATTTGAGATAAGTGTTTATCTTTTTATCTACATTTGGTTTTAATTTAGATTTCTTGTTTGTGTGCATGATTTCTATTTTTAAACTCATGTGTGCTTGTGTGTTCTCCATGAATTTTGAGTAGTTTTCTTTATCTTTTTTCTTAAAATGATAAGTGATTATGTAATTAAAGGGAGTTGTGTGAAGTGTTAAACTTCAATGTTGGAAGAAGTTGTGATGATTTGAAACTTTGTACTTCATTTACTTCTTGATTTGGTCAATTAAGATGTTAATACACGTTGTGAGAGCATGTAAGATTCGAGATGGCATTGTCTCAGTCAACAAATGGTTGGAATCACATATTGATTTCATGAATGAGAATGTAGTTCATGGGGTTTAGTAGAAATAAATAGGAAAATATATTTTAAAGGGTGTAGAGATAGAGGACTTTAGAGTGACATACTAAAACCCACAATTTGATTTATAGTTTTAGGTTTTGATACACGATGTTAGCTCCCAGGTGGAGGGAGAAGAGGGAACTCTAGAGTGAGAGCTAGTATCTTCCCTGCCTAGCCGGTCTTCAAGAATATTCAAACTATATATTAGTCAATATTCTTTATAACATCTCTAGTAAGGGTAAAGAATATTATTGCCCCTATTTGACACAACACATTTAGCATACTTCCACAACAAAATTTTTAAATTTATCCATAATTCATGATAAGGAAAAAGATATCTTATTTATACTGCCTTCATCTTGCAAGTATTCTAGTTAAGTTAATTAGTTGCTTACTTTCTTTTCAATTATCAAAAATTACAAAAATAATCGAACTTTCATTCCTATTTTAGCATCTTAAGTTTAAGTAAAATTTTGTTATCTAAAATTAGTCCTCCCTGTGGGATCGATATTCAAGACATAATCAGAAAGTTCTATATTACTTGATAGCGATACTTATACTTGCATAGTATCCCCTATTAAAATATTATAACTGCATTCTTATTTGCTTCATAGTGAAATATTTACCTAGCTCTTGTTTTGGATCAAGTTTTTGGCTTTGTTGCAAATTAAGAATATCTATTAAGGAAATTAATTGCATATATCATATTTTACATCCATCTATATAGAAAAATGGGATCAATAACCAACGTACAAAGTTGTCGATTATTAAGTTATTAATATCTAATGTCAGTTATGGGTTGGGAAGCTGTCGAAAAAGCCCTATAATATCGACCCAATGTTGGTATTCCTCATTTCTCTTCTTTCTCTCACGTGTTAAATCTCCGGCCTGCATCAAAGATTTTGAACGCTTTTTTGCTAAGGTTTACCATTCTACAAGTTCATATATTCAAATCAAAGGTAATGTCAATTTCAATCTTATTCTATATTTTTATTTAATTTCAACTGTTAATTTTTTTGCAATTAAAGTTTTTCAGTTTTTAGGAAAAATGAGATTTTGATTCGATTTTATGATTTTAATGATGTATATTTATACGTACAACAAATTATTATGTATCTACCTATCTAACACCTAAACTTCAATTTTTACATATATGTCGCCTTACCTATGCATGAAAAGGTATATTTCACTGTTTTTAGTTCTTTTTAAAAACTTTGAGTCGTCATTTTGTCTATTTATATATCGTTGTATTATTCTCTTATTTGAATAAATCTCCCTCT